GTTTTATTGAATATTGATAAGTTATTTAAAATTTGATGCATTATTTTAATAGTAGACCTTTAAATATAGTTTTTAAAAAACTATTATAAACTTAGAAATTGATTTTTTTATCGGTAAATAAAGCTCGAAAAAGCCCGAAAAGCCCTGTAGCCCTGTTAGGGCCGGGCCGGGCTTTGAAATATAGGCTCGGAAATTTTTCGGGCCGGGCCGGGCCGGGCTTACATATATGAGGGCTTTACGGGTTTCGGGCCGGGCCGGGCCGGGCTAGCCCGATTGACATGCCTAGTAGTAGTACTTAACTTGACTATCCCATGATTTGGTAAAAAAAAAAAAAAAAAAAAATTAAATTAAAAAGAGCATAAAAAGTATTTCAAATAGCTTTATCTCTTTTTTTTTTCTTTTTTTTTTTTTCATTTCTATCAAATAACTAACTGTTCGATAAATGATGCGATTCCAAATCACCAGAGGTCAGATTATATATGTGTCGCTCTCAACGCAAAAACGTTAGTTGATATTTTTACAGATTAGATGTTAGATTTTGAATCACTTAGTGCTATTATCCTTTTTGTTACTTCGATTTGCTTTTGTCTTCACATATAACTTTCCATTTTTATAGTTATTCTCATGAGTTTTTAATATTCAGCGGAGACAAAAGCTAAAAATATAAAGAGATTTATTTTAAAAAGTGAAAAGATTATATGCTTATTGATCTTCTTAATTGAAGTGTTGTCCATCTCACTAAACATTATAATGAAATACTGATTATCATTTCCGTGATTGTACGGATTAAGCTTTATGATGACATATAGTATATCTGTATATATAACTTCTTTTTTTAAGATATGTGTTCCAAAGAATCTCTCTACAAACTTTTTATTTTATCTACTTTTAAGATAATTTTTATTAGTATTTTTTTCAACTAATCCTATATCCTACGTCGATTAGTTTCCATTTCTGAGAGCTTTAATTATAGATACGTTAAAACACTATCGCAGTTTTACTTTTGAATGATTGATTATTAGTCTTATTTCATTTTCGACTATATGATTGGAACTCAAGTAAACGCATAGTATTGAATTTTAATATAACGAAGCTATAAGCTCCCCTGCTGAAAGTAAATCTTAATAATCCAACAATTATATGGATCGTCGTAACTATACTACGATATTAACACCTTATTGCAACGTACAAAACTAAAAAAAAAATAGTGGTCATTGAGTAGTTGTTTTGATTGCACATTTAGCTTCAACCATAGAGTAATGAATTTATGCACATGAAAATCTAAATTGCGAACGATATGATCTTACCAACGTGGATAACACAAAATATGATTAGATCAAGATTTTGCAGACAAATGCCATCGTAATATATAGATCTCTAACTCTCAATGTTATTTTTATACAAAATTAGATAAAAGAAGATAGATGAAAATGTTAGGACAAAAGGAACGTACTAATTAATAATAAAAACAAGTTTAATATATATTATATGTGACCGAATTTGATTGAATAAGAGAAAGTGGGAGTGTAGATAAGCAGAGATGCACAAAGCATGGCCACCTAATAAATTCAAAAAGAAAACACATGCATGATACCACACTTATCACTAAATATTTAATAACTAAAACCTAACATTTTGAATTTTAAACCAAAAAAAATTATAACATAATTGAAATTGAAAAAAAAAGCTGTACATAGAAAATTATTACAAGAACAAGAATATATAATTAAATTAGGTCCAGTGGTAGTGCCAAACTGTATTGTAAATAGAGTTGTCCCTTTGTGTCTAGAGCTCTTTGTGGATATCATTTGTATATATAAATGTTAGGTCCTTCGCTGTTTTTATTTTTCTTTTCATTTTGCCCAAAATATCTTATTTCCTTTTCCGTACATACCACATGTACATGTTCACATGTCGATTTTGAAAAAAAAAAAAAAAAGAGTTCTCGATAAAATCCTTTTAATATGTCGTTTTCAAATGTAATTATATGTCTATTTTCATTTGAAATATATGGTTATTTGCATATACTTGAAATCATATTGTGTTTGGGCGAAAGACAACCACAATGCAAGAGACTAGCTAGGATCTAAGCGAATATTCCTAAATTTGAGAACTAAACTTAAAGAGTTCGATTAATTGGTTTTCACTTTTTAAGTGTTGAAATTGTAGTATCAAAGATGATAGAACAATGGTCCAACCTCATCATATTATATATTTTCTGGTTCATAAAAAAACGGTTTGTTTTCCTGTAAACAAAATTACATCATTCTATATAATAGGTTATATTATTGTCTGCAACAGGATGATGTATACAAATAAAGCTGGAAATATATATAAATTGGGTTAGCTAAGCAACCCAAGTCATACCATTTGTTTTTAATAGTTCTAGAAGAACTTCATGTTTATGTGCATCTTAATTAAGGCTTTTCCTTTAGAAACACGTCTCTTGATTTTTTTTTGTTTTTTTTTGTTTTACATTTTAGGTGTGTTCCATGTCGAGTTCTACTTTAAGGTCTCTTCATTCTGATATGGTTTGGTTTTATTGAACTAATTTCGGAATTTAAAAACAAAATACGAATCGATTTTTCTAGTTCATATTAAATATAGTTTGGTTTCAATCAGTTTTAAGTATGTGTGACGAGAAATGCAACTTGCTGCGTGAGACGCGGCATGAGAAAACTCGTTAGCCTTGTGACGGTGGGTGTATTATTTTACAATGCAATTATTAAAGATCCAAAGACGATGATGCAACTTGAAAGCTACAGTATTGCATATTATTTTTAGTTACTGCTAATTAATTAATTTAATCAACCAGTGATCTTCAGTTTATAAAGATAAGTACGGACAATTATATTTGTTTTAAGAGATATTTGAATCATCATTATCAAATGATTAAAAAAGCCAGAACCATTAAG